TTCTTTGTTGAGGTCCACTTTAGAACGCGTGCTGGAGTTTGAAAAACGAGTGAGAGAGCTGCAAGTTGTGGGGCCGTTGCCGCAGCTAGTTCTGGCAGAGGGAGGATCAGCGTCAGCTCCGGTGGTGCTGCCTGCAACAAAGGGACCAGCTGCTCTGCTGGAGCAGAATTCCCAGCAGCAGCAGCCACAGCAGCAGCGGCTATCGTGGGCTGAGTGGCTGTCTTTAGTCGAAGCGGCCAGTAACTTGGGGCTGGATGTTGAGTCAGCAACTCTTGTGAAGCAGCTGCATGCACGGGCCGTGATGTTACAGCAGAAGGTGCAGAGTGCTGTTACAGCACAGCCGATACCCAGTCTCGAGGCAGCACGTGTAATGGTGAGTTATGTTTAATGCTATCTGCGGCTGCAGCTCTTGCTGAGGCGGTTGCTCTTACCCTTGGTGGGGCTGCTGGCTGGGGCCTGTATTGCGAACTGCTTGCGGTGTGTGGTTGTTGCGCTGCAGCTCATGGAAGCTTCTAACCTCCCTGTGGAGACAGCAGGCATAGGTGCAGTATCTGCTGCCATTGCCGCTGTTGATGCGTGGGAGCAGAAGGCAGAGGCGGCCTTGCAGCAGCTGCAGCAGCAGCTCCAGCTGCAGCAACTGCAACAGCGCTGCGGGCTGCCACCGCAGCAGTTGCTGCAGTTGCAGCAGAACCAAGCCCCGAGGACAGACGCCCTCTGGGCCCTCATAGATGAAGCCTCAAAGCTGCCGATTGCCCCGGAGGGAATCCCGGCGTATGTACGCCTTAAGAAGGTGAGCAATATTTTAGGATTGAGGGTGTGAGGGTAAATGCTTACCTCTTAGCCTTCAACGTAGAGTTTCGGGTCAGGTGTGTCAGTGGTCTGGATTAAGGGTTTGGAGTTTGTGGTGTATGTACAGACTGCGGAGGAAGCTGATAAGAAGCTGCTGAGCGATAGAAACGTGGCGCAGCAGCTTCTGCTTTTGCAGCAACTCAAGGACGCTGCTGCTGCTCCTGCACCTGACGCCGCGCTGCAGCAGCAACAGCAGCAACTCTTGCTGCTGCAGAAGGGACTTCATTCTGCCGCAGCAGCTGCGGCTGCATCATCAGGGGAACCATCTGCCCTGCTCCAAGCTCAACAGCAGCCGCAGCAGCAAGCATTCCAGCAGCCGTTGCAGCAACAGCAGCAGCNGCCCTGCTCCAAGCTCAACAGCAGCCGCAGCAGCAAGCATTCCAGCAGCCGTTGCAGCAACAGCAGCAGCAAAACCAACCTATGCTGCAGGCTGGTGCCCTAGGCCTCATAATGCAGCAGCTCGCGCAGCGACACGTAGGCGCGGAGAGGGGTCTGATGTTCAACCTGCCACTTGCCCAGCAGCTCCAGCACTTGCACCAGACGCAGCAGCAGCTGCAGCAGCAGCTGCTTCAGCAGCAACAGCAGCAGCAGCAACAGCAGCCGCCGCCGCAGAATAATCATCACCGGCAGCAACAGCTGCAGTTTCAGCAATTTCAAATGCAGCAGAAGCTGCAGCAGAATCAACAGCAGCTTTTGCAGCAGTTGCAGCAGCAGCCGCAGCAACACCAACAGCTGCTACACCAGCTGGAGCAGCAACAGCAACAGCAGCAACTGCTCTCTCAACAGCAACAGCTGCTGCAACAACAGCGAGGCGGTAGAGGCCGTGGCGGAGGTAGCAGAGGCAGCGGCGCCAGCAGCAGTAGGCAGAAAAGGAAGTCGCCTTCTGCTGCAGACGCCTGGAGTGCAGCAGCAACATCGGCTGCAGCGCCTGCTTCGGTGGGCCCCCCGCTCCAGCATCAAGGCGTGCCTCCTCACTTGCTGCTGCAACAGCAGCAAGTGCCTCCCAGCTCGGCTGCTCCTGACAGGGAACAGCCGATGCCGCCCGTGCAGCTGTAACTGCATTGAGTTGAACTGCTATACTTAGCGTCACGCCCGCAGCGGCCACGCAGGCGGCTGCGATGCTAGCAGCAGCAGCGCCGGCAGCACAAGTGGCTGCTATTAGTGCACAGTGCTGCAGCTGCAGAATACGCCACTTCTGTTTCTTGATTTTGGTTTAGTTTGACCCGCGACGCCTGTCGCCCATTTCTTATGCTTGAAGAACACTTAATAGAAGTGTTATCTGCGAAATTAACTGCCGTTGCCAGAGCACGAGGGGAGTTTGCACAGGGAACAGCAGGA